GGAAGAAAGGATAAAGTAAATGGAGCACAAAATAAACAATCATTCAACCTGTGAAAAATGTTTACAAGTATAACTTGCTTTTTTAGATTGATTATTTGAACTTGTTTATATTTCCTAAGCTAGGCCTATGAATTTCCACCTCAGGACTGCATTCCCAGTGTCCCACAGATTTTGGTTCATTGTGTTCTCATTGTCATTTGTGTCAATGTATCTTTTGATTTTTTTCTTGATCTCATTGTTAGCCCATTCATTGTTAGTAACATGTTATTTTGTTTTAGATTTCCAGTGTTGTTGTCTTCTCAAGTACAGTTGTCTCCATTTTCCCACCATTCCACCAATCACTGCCTCCCACTGTTGATCCTACCCCCTTTGGTTTGTCCATGTGTCATTTATACATGTTCCTTTATGACCCTTCCCCTATTTTCCCATTATCCCCCCTCCTCCTCTCTTATTACCATGAGCCTGTTTTTTATTTGAAAGTCAGTGTTCACGTTTTGCTTACTTGTTTGTTTTGCCGATCAGGTTCTGCTTATAGGTGGGATCATATGGCATTTGTCTTTCACCACCTGGCTTACTTCACTTAGCATAATGCTTTCCAGATTCATACATGCTGGTACAAAGGGTAAGAGCTCCTCCTTTCTTTCTGCTGGGTAGTATTCCACTGTATAAATGTACCACAGTTTTTTGATCCATTCACTTACAGATGGGCATGTAGGTGGCTTCTAACACTTGGGTATTGTAAATTGTGCTCCTATGAACATTGCATGCAGTGAGTAGGTTCTGTTCAAGTGGTGTTTCAGGGTTCTTAGGATATAATTCTAGCAGTGGATTTGCCAGGTCAAAAGGTAGTTCCATTTTCAGTTTTCTGAGGAAATTCCATACTGTTTTCTAAGGGACATAAAGGAAAGAGTAAACAAATGGGACTTCATCAAAATTAAAAGCTTCTGCATGGCTAAAGAAAACATCAGCAAAATGAAAAGGGAACCAACCACATGGGAAAATATACTTGCAAATGATACCTCAGACAAGGGTTTGATATCAAAATATATAAAGAACTCACATGACTCCACTCCAGGAGGACAAATAACCCAATTAAGAAATGGGCAAAAGACCTGAACAGACACTTTTCCAAAGAGGACATACAGAGGGCCCAGAGGCATATGAAAGGATGCTCTGCATCACTACCCATCAGACAGATGCAAATTAAAACCACAATGAGATACTACTTCATACAAGTGTAATTTATTTTTAGATTTTTTTAAAAGATTTTGTTTATTTATCTTTAGAGGGGATGGGAAAGAGAGAGGGAGAGAAATATCAATGTATGGTTGCCTCTTTTGCATCCCCTGCCAGGAACTGGCCTGCAACCCAGGCATGTGCACTGACTAGGAAATGAACTGCGATCCTTTGGTTTGCAGGCCTGTGCTCAATCCACTGAGCTGCACCAGCCAGGGCACAAGTGTATTTTTTTAAATCCTGTAGCTCTTCTTGAACTTTGAAATTATATCAAATTTTTAAACAATATTTTATTTATCTATTTTTGGAGAGAGGGGAAGGGAAGGAGAAAGAGTGGGAGAGAAACATCAATGTGTGGTTACCTTTCATGTGTCCCCTACTGGGAACCTGGCCTGCAACCCAGGCATGTGCCCTGACTGGGAATAAAACCAGCGACCCTTTGCTTCACAGGCTGGAGCTCAAGCCACTGAGCTACACCAGCCAGGGCTCCAAACTTTTTAAAATACAAAAATTGTCGTGTGTTTGATTGCCAAGTAGGAAGCTATATATATCATGAAATCAACTCCAGTGAATTAAATTATTTAATATAATTTCAACCCTCCCTGATATTTTTAATTTTTTCTTTTTGTTGTCACCTGAGGACTTTTTTTTTTGGGGAGAGAGAGAAGTGGGGAGAGAAACATCCATGTGAGAGAAGCATCTATTTGATGTCTCTGTACATACCCAGACCTGAAATCCATTCTGGGACTGTACTGGGGGCATGGTGGAATAGGAGGGTGAGAAGGGTAAGGAATTGTCACTCCTGTCCACTCCAGAAAGGCAGTAAAGCTAGGTATGTGCCCTGACCAGAAATCAAACTCACGAACCTTCAGTTATAGAACGATGCTCCAACCACTGAGTCACACTAGGCAGGACCTTCCTCACATTTTAAAAACGAACTAGAATTAGGAGGACTCTTCCTTAAACTTCTATAGGTACCAAAAACAACAGTAAAAAATCCTACTGCAAGCACCTCACATATGGTCTATTATTAAAATGTTTCACCTCAGTTCAGGCATGAAAGGACAACTATCACTTTATATATTGACCTCCAATGTTACTCCCTAAGGACTGTTTACTAGCGAGAAGGAAAAATATACATGTATATGGTATGGAAAGGGAGAAATAATCTTGGTTTTCTTCATCTCATTACAGCAGTATCTCTCATGGCATCTTCAGTGTGAGTCCTACCAAGAACATCTTATTCAGTGTGTAACCCATACCTGCTCCCACGTTTCACTACACCTATGTCCTGTTCTGTCCTTTCCACAGAACCCACCAGCTTCTAATGCCGTGCTGCATGACTTAATATCTTGGGAGCATCATTTATAATCTGTTTCCCTGAACAAGAATAAAAATTCCACGAGGGCAAAATTATCTTCATGTTTTGTGTGCAGATACATCTTCTCTACCGAGAGAAATGCATGACGCACATAAGCTATAAAATTAATCTTCCTTGAAACACTAAATAAATGTGTCACTGTAATACTTCTGTCTATTAGAGGTACTCTGGCTACTCCTAACTCCTGAGTTATTGTCCTCCCTTCAGTCTGATTTCCCACAGGGTCTCAGGAATTAGAAAAGAACCATATTATGAAGAGAACCAAGGTGGCAGGTGATTAAAAGTCCAGCAGAGTTTGTGTTGACATCTTTCACTAGATAGATCTCAGTGTCCTCTACTGAACTTTCATTGGGATTATTGTTGGTTTCAAAAGTGTGGTCTCCCCTGGCCTTTTCTGTCACTTCACATGGGTATTTTCCTTCTTCACTTTAATAGTTTTCTGTACTTTCCACAATTAACAAATGTTTTTTGAGCCACTCTCTGCTCCCCTAGCAGACACTGTCACTATAATCCCATGTGAAATGATAATCACCTTCCAACAAGGAGATGAGATCATGGAAGCCACAACCTTTATATCAGGTTGAGATGCCACTTTCCACACCTGCATAGGTGCCACCTGGGCAGCCCCTGCCCCAGCTGCAAATGCCAGCAGGTAAGTAGCAACTCTGTTCAGATAAGTTCAATTCTGAGATGGACTTCTTTAGAAAATTCAGTGATAACATAGGATAAATGATTCTGTGTCTTGGGATTGGAACCCAAAAGTATAAAACATATAGAGACATACATGTATATGCAGAATAGATTTTATTTAAGGAAAATGATGTCATATTGCCAGGCTCATTCACCTGCATTGAGACTGCCTGACACCTCTTCTCCCTGTTACAACTCTCTCTGAAGTCATCTCTCCCCTGTCCCTGACCGCACTCAGGGACCCACAGGTTTTCACTGTCCAGGCTTCATGTTCCAGGCAAGTGACAAGCCGTAAATCAGACAAGATGGGCTCTAGCTGCTGAGACAATACTGGTCTGCTTGACAGGTGCTGTATATGAATTTGCTTTTGTTTTGTTTCGGGGGAGAGAGTGTTGCAGTAAATGAAGTCTGTAAGAATATGTTCTAACATTTCTTTCCTTATGAGGACATTAATATTTATTGAGAGAAAAGGAATGCTCATTCCACGTCCCACATTAGGGACAAAAATAAAAAGCTTAATTAAGGAAACCTGTGGCTCACTATTATATTTGACAAGGCCTTTTCGGTAGGTGTTGGACGTTTTCTGCCCCACACCCAACTTTGTCACTTCTCTCCAAGTTTAGCTTTCTTTTAGTGAGAAATGGCATTTATGTATCACAGTTAATTACTGTAGATGGTCAGTACCATGGACCATCTAGTAGATTCTTTCAGGAAACTAGGGAATATGTATGTGTTTTAAATTGATGTACTACATGCATTATTTCTCTCCAAATTTATAGGATTATAGATTTTGTTTAAAATTATATTTCATGCATAGATAACTTTTTGTTTTACACAAAAAGTCTTCTTTGCCCATTATATTTTTTGCTGAACTTATACGGGTGACATTGGTTAGAAAAATATATGTTTCAGGGGAACAATTCTATAACACATTATCTCTATATTGTACTGTGTGTTCACCACTCCAAGTTACCAATTAATTTAATAGACTAATTCAAATGTTTCAATTGAGTGATGTTGGGATAATTTGCATTTACTATTTCTTTTCAGGTATTTCTGCCTTCATCTGATTTCCAGTAACTTGACCTTTTTCTTACAAGTACACATAGAATATCATGCTCATAGACAATCAGCATAATTTTTTCATTTAACTTGGAATTTTATGGATTCTAACACCTGACTTTTATTATTTTTCAACAGTTGTGTAATATAATTGTATTTCTATATGTCAAAAATAGAACTCAGAAGACTTCATAAAGCCTAGCCTACATTTCCAGCCTTCTATTTGAATCATTTCTACCGCTGAACGTATGTATTTATATTCTTAAAAAATACTTTTACACATTTTCTATATCTTGCCTTTTTAATGTGAGACTGTATCCTGGGAAAGGATGGTATCTGTATACAGAATCTCCCTCACTCCTCTCCACCTCTCCAGGGAACCCGGTTGTGCAGTTGAGCCTCCTCCATTTACCCTGGACATTCATACCAAGACTGTTTAACATCCAGGTCTTTATTGAACCGCCTTTGCACACATGAGCCAAAATTCTAATTGTCCAGTTCAAGTGGGAATATATGGAAGAGCATAAGCCTTAAAAATTGAAGGACATGGTGATGGTGACACATTTATCTTCCTTTCACTCTTCATTTCTCTGACTTTAGTTAAAACCCATACCCTCCAATTTCTGAAGCAATGCTCTCGGCCAGCTTGGACATGAGGATTATGTTCCTCACTCAAATAGGAATTGGCCTCCTGGGAAATATCTCTCTCATTTGTCTTTATACCTTCACTTCCCTCACTGGACATAATTTTAGACCCACAGACCTCATTCTCATGCAACTGGTCTCAGCCAATTGTGTGACTCTTTTCTCTAAAGGCATCCCTCAGGCAATGGCAGCTTTTGGATGGAGGTATTTCCTGGCTGATAATGGATGTAAATCTGTCTTCTATTTTTACAGCATGGGCATAGGAGTTTCCTTAAGAACCATCTGTCTCTACTTTGGCTTCCAGGCCATTAAGCTGAACCCCAGTATTTGGAGGTGGATGGAGCTCAAGATTAGATCCCTAAAGTTCATTGCCTTCCTCTGTTCCCTTTGCTGGATCCTGCAAATCTTGATAAATTCATTTGTTCCCCTGGTAATAAATGGTCCCCTGAACAGGAAGAACTTCAGTCTGGAAAATAATTATGTATACTGTTCTTGGCAAACAAATGAGGGAATTGTAGGCACATTCACTACTGTGATTTATTATTGCCCGCACTTCATGAGTTTGGGCTTTGTGATCTGGGCCAGTAGCTCACTGGTTCTTGTCCTGCACAGACACAAGCAGCGAGTCCGGTGCATTTGCAGCAGCAGACTCTCCTCCAGACCTTCCCATGAGACCAGAGCCACATGCACCATCCTGATCCTGATGAGCAGCTTTGTTACAGTTTATTCAGCCTATTTAATTTTGTCAGTTTATACAACTCTACCAACAAATCGAGGCCAGTGGATGCTGAACATGTCTGAGATTGTGGTATCATCTTTGCCATCATTCTTCCCCTTTGTGCTTATCATCAGTGACACCCGGGTCTCTCAGCTCTGCTGGTTCTGCTGGGCTAGGAAATGTGTTTCTTAATCTGGTTCCAGTTCTCTAGCACTAGAGAGACCAGTCATCAGTCTCTTCTCAATGTCATTAAATATTCATCCCAATGTTTGTTAATATTTGGGGACATCTGAAATGTAAGGAATGTGTGATGATGCTGTTGCAAATAAGGGCAGTAATGTGCCTGCCTGCATCCGTGGTAACAGGGAGCTAAAAGTGAACATCGCATGTATAATGAAACAAAGCATCCTTATTCCAATTGTTATGTTCTTCAGTGGGGAAGTCCTGGACACTTAAAATGTGATAATGGAGGGAAATTCCTGAATTTAAGGCCCCTGGGAAGTCTGCCACTTTGGGCGTCTTAGAGAGTCCTGGAAACTGCTTTTTTGTCTTGTTTTGTTTAAATGTATTTTGAAGCATTGTTGAGTTCATCTTTTTATGACAGGGAAAAATTCCCTGTGAAGACCAACATGAGAAAGACATATACAACCTCATGGGAGTAAGAGAATCCTGAATGTTGGGAGTGTGGATAGATGGGAGCGCAGCAGAACTGAAGGTGATGAATGTTCTGGGTAACTGCTTAGGACAGTCTGAGAAGTCTGAACTTTTCTTTGAGAACATTATGGACAGAGAAGGTAAACAATCTAGTGGGTAACAAAGCTGTGCTTTTCATTTCAAATTGTGTATAAACTGTAACTAAACTAACTTACTTGTTTTTCTAATAATACTATAACTGTTGTTTAGCTAAAATGAAAAGTGCTTCATATAAATTTACTCTCAAGGAAACACATTACCAGTTTCTCATGGGTGATTTTAAGTGTCTAAACAATTGAAATTATTTTTCTCAGCTATGTTCACCTAAATCAAAAAGTTCAAGACTTTCATATCCTATAATAAACAGCTGTATTTTTCTAGGTCTGATTATTTCTGTCTAGAAAATTAAGTGTGGTCTTCAATACTTTAAAAGATTTATGTATCATTCTCTATCTATAATTTCATCTATTTATTCAATTTTAATATATTTTATAGCAATCTCTGTAGTTATCATGCCTATCAAAATATCAATAGTGTTTTTACACCAAGTATAAGTCTTCATATTTTGCTTAATTCTAAAATTTTGAAATCTTCTTATACCTCTTTTTAAAATAAATATATGTGCTATAACTATATGTTATTTATTTTGAAGGAAATGATCTGTGAGGGATTCTTGTCCTTCATATTGCCTTACTTTTCTCCAGATTTCACATTACGATAGGGTTAATTGATTTGGATATCACATTTCCAAAGTATAAACAATGATCTGAGTTAAAAATTAAATTGGTCATAGGGAGTACAATCAATATTTTTAACTTTGGAAGGAGAGAGGACTTCCGCCAAGATGGAGGCACAGGTGGAGACGCCGTGCTTCCTCAGACAACCAAGTTTAGAGACAACTAAATAATAGCAACAGAAAACACAGCCAGAACACAGAAAATGGAACTTTTCAGAAGTCTGATAACAACAAATTCTTCAGCCTGACCGGTAAGAGGGGCAAAACCAGCAGCTGGTACAGCGGGATAGCACAGAAAATTCGGTCAGACTCAGGCATGCGGAATCCAGGGTTGGACCTAGTGGGCAACCCAGCAAGCAATCACAGGGAAACAGTGAGGAAGCAGGGCTGTGGGTTGTCTGTGGTCGTGCATTGGCGCATTCGTGTGTGGATAGACAAGCGAAGTAGTGGGCGATTGGACGGGACCCAGCAGCCCCAGTGGCAAGCGACCATGGAGGGCGCTGCCATTTCCCCGCTCTAACCCCGCCTCCACATGTAGCGTCATAATTCAGCGACCTAAGTGGCTCTGCCCTGGTGAACAACCTAAGACTCTGCTCTTCACTCTGCTGCGAGTAACAGCAGAGGGGGCCGCCATTTCCCGGCTCTGACCCCGCCTCCACATACAGCTTCACAACCCAGTGACCTGGGAGTCCAAGACTCCGCTCCTCATACTTAATACACACAAACAGACCAAAAATGGCACAAGAAGATCTCAAAGCCCCAGAGCCTATAAATCTAAGCAATGAAGAAATAGCACAACTCTCAGACCCACAGTTTAAAACACTGGTCATCAGGATCCTCACAGAACTGGTTGATTATAGCCACAAATTAGATATACATATGAAGGCAAAACTAATTGAAATGAATGGAATTACACAGGAAACCAATAGCGATAAAAAGGAAACTGGGACTCAAATCAATGGAGTGGACCAGAAGAAAGCAAATAATGGCCAAACAGAAAAGAGTCAAGAAGCGAGAATTCAAAAAAATGAGGAGAGGCTTAGGAACCTCCAGGACATCTTTAAACGCTCCAACATCCGAATTATAGGGGTACCAGAAGGGGGAAAGGAACAGCCACCAGTGGAAAACTTATTTGAACAAATAATAAAGGAGAATTTCCCCAATCTGGCTAAGGAAATAGACTTCCAGGAAATCCAGAAAGCTCAGAGAGTACCAAAGAAGTTGGACCCAAGAAGAAACACACCAAGGCACATCATCATTACATTAGCCAAAATTAAAATGAAGGAGAGAATCCTAGAAGCAGCAAGAGCTAAGGGGACAGTCACCTACAAAGGAGTCCCCATCAGACTGTCAGCGGATTTTCCAAAAGAGACCTTACAGGCAAGAAGGGGCTGGAAAGAAATATTCCAAGTCATGAAATCCAAAGACCTACAACCAAGATTGCTCTATCCAGCAAAACTTTCATTTAGAATAGAAGGACAGATAAAGTGCTTCTCAGATAAGATCAAATTCAAGGAGTTCATCATCACCAAGCCCTTATTATATGAAATGCTAAAGGGACTTATCTAAGAAAAAGGAGTTAAAGAAACATGAACAGTGGAAGGACAACAAACTCATAGTTATGAACAACCACACCTAAAACAAAAGCAAACTAAAAGGACAGCTAGATCAGGAGTGGAAACATAGAAATGAAGATCTCAAGGAGGGTTAGCAACAGGGGAGTGGGAGGAGGAGAAGGTACAGAAAATAAGTAGCGTAGACAGTAGATAGACAATAGATGGGGGGGCAAGAATAGCATGGGAAATATAGAATCTAAAGGACTTGAGACACATGGTCATAAACTAAAGGGGGGTAATGGTGGGAACGGGGGGGTAGGGTGGAGGGGAATGAAGGGGGGGAATAGAACAACTGTAACAGCATAACCATAAAAAAATAAATTAAAAAAAAGACAAGGAGAGAATCTAAAAAGCAGCAAGAGAAAAGGAAAGAGTTACCTACAAAGTTTTTATAAGACCATCAACTGATTTCTCAAAAGAAAGCTTACAGGCAAGAAGGGGCTGGAAAGAAGTATTGGAAATCATGAAAGGCAAGGACATTCACCCAAGATTACTCTATCCAGCAGAGCTTTCATTTAGAATGGAAGGGCAGATAAAGCACTTCTCAGATAAGGTCAAGTTCAAGGACTTCATCATCACCCAGCCCTTATTATATGAAATGTTAAAAGGACTTATGTAAGCAAAACAAGATGATAAAAATATGAACAGTACAATGACAACAAACTCACAGCTATCAACAACTGAACCTAAAAAACAAAAACAGAAACAAACTAAACAAACAACTAGAACAGGAACAGAATCACAGAAATGGAGATGACACGGAGAGTTATCAGTGAAGGGGCAGAAGGAGAAAGGGGGGGAAAGTACAGGGAATAAGAAGTATAATTAGTAGGCACAAAATAGACAGGGGGAGGTTAAGAATAGTATGGGAAATGGAGAAGCCAAAGAATGTATATGTATGATCCATGGATATAAACTAAGGGAGAAGGGAACATTGGAGGGAGGGGTGCATGATGGAGGGGGGTAAAGGGGAGAAAAATGTGGGACAACTGTAATAGCATAATCAATAAAATATACTTAAAAATAAAATAATTAAAAATAAAAAATATATTTATTTTAAACTTTGTCCAGTGATAGATGGTCACCAGACTTCTGCAACTATTGTATAAGATATATAAATGTTAAGTCACTCTGTGGTACACCTGCAACTAACATAATACTGTATATAAAGTATACTTTACTTCAGCAATCCAGAATGTAATTTTAAAAAATTAAGGTGGTGATAAATTGATACAGATTTGGGTTTTTTGGTTACTTTTTTATTTTTTATTTTTATTTTATTTTTTAAAATTATTTATTTATTTTTATTGATAATGCCATTACAGTTGGTCTATTCCCCCCTTCATTCCCCTCCACCCTACCCCCCTCCCACCATTACCCCCTTTAGTTTATGACCATGTGTCTCACGTTCTTTAGATTCTATATTTCCCATACTATTCTTGCGTCCCCATTTTCTATCTACTGTCTATGCTACTTATTTTCTGTACCTTCTGCCCCCTTCTCCTCCTCCCACTCCCCTGTTGCTAACTCTCCTTGAGATCTTCATTTCTATGTTTCCACTCCTGATCTAGCTGTCCTTTTAGTTTGCTTTTGTTTTAGGTGTGGTTGTTAATAACTGTGAGTTTGCTGTCCTTTCACTGTTCATGTGTTTTTAACTTTTTTTTCTTAGATAAGTCCCCTTAGAATTTCATATAATAAGGGCTTGGTGATGATGAACTCCTTGAATTTGATCTTATCTGAGAAGCACTTTATCTGTCCTTCCATTCTAAATGAAAGTTTTGCTGGATAGAGCAATCTTGGTTGTAGGTCTTTGGATTTCATGACTTGGAATACCTCTTTCCAACCCCTTCTTGCCTGTAAGGTTTCTTTTGAGAAATCCTCTGACAGTCTGATGGGGACTCCTTTGTAGGTGACTGTCCCCTTAGCTCTTGCTGCTTCTAGGATTCTCTCCTTCATTTTAATTTTGGCTAATGCAATGATGATGTGCCTTGGTGTGTTTCTTCTTGGGTCCAACTTCTTTGGTACTCTCTGAGCTTCCTGGATTTCCTGAAACTCTATTTCCTTAGCCAGATTGGGGAAATTCTCCTTTATTATTTGTTCAAATAAGTTTTCCACTGGTGGCTGTTCCTTTCCCCCTTCTGGTACCC